CTGACTAAATACTTTTTTGCCCCACTGTATATAGTGGTAAGAAACTGAGCAGCCATAATCAACGAGTTTGGTGTTTGATGATTTTATCTGACAGCTTTGGTCAAGTCCAGAAAGCAGTACACCAGAGCCTATACGTCGGTAAGTTGGCTACCTTCTAGCACATTGATCTGGCGTCTGTGGCAGGTATATAAACATCTAATGTTCTTGACACTTTAATGTTAGCATTTGATGGCCACTAAAGGATGTTATGTTTGTTAAGGGTTCAAATTTTGAGGAGGGATACAGGAGGGATTCAAAATCACAACACTGGTCCAGGAGGGTTAGGTCAATGAACACACGCGTGGGGAGGTGTAAACTGCAAAACATCAGCTGTAGCTCTCTGCCCAATAATACACCACCAGTTGTTTTTATAGCATCAGGGTATTATTTATGATGCCCCCTCATGCGTCAAGAAGATACATCACATCTACATCACAAATGTTCTGTTGACGACTGTGACACAGTCAGAAAAGAACATTTTTTTTGTCTCCATGCCAGGTGTTTCCTGTAGCTCGTCTCGCTCTCGCTTCTCCAAACCCTCAGATGCATGCTCTGCAACAAAACTGCAAGTCTGCAGGTACAAAATGGAGTTGCAAGCAAAATATGTCTGAACTCTTACCTAGAATATAAGTCTACCTACAGTGTGTGTGTGTGTGTGTGTCCTGACCTCAGTTGCACTCTGTCTCACCTTTCACCTCGCCTACTAAAACTCACAACCAAACGGAGGCCACTCTCATACAGGGAGTGCAGAATTATTAGGCAAATGAGTATTTTGTCCACATCATCCTCTTCATGCATGTTGTCTTACTCCAAGCTGTACAGGTTCGAAAGCCTACTACCAATTAAGCATATTAGGTGATCTCTGTAATGAGAAGGGGTGTGGTCTAATGACATCAACACCCTATATCAGGTGTGCATAATTATTAGGCAACGTCCTTTCCTTTGGCAAAATGGGTCAAAAGAAGGACTTGACAGGCTCAGAAAAGTCAAAAATAGTGAGATATCTTGCAGAGGGATGCAGCAGTCTCAAAATTGCAAAGCTTCTGAAGCGTGATCATCGAACAATCAAGCGTTTCATTCAAAATAGTTGGGTCCTCGTGCGCATCAAGTTCATAAGTCACAGGTCGCAAGAAGCGTGTGGAAAAACCAAGGCGCAAAATAACTGCCCATGAACTGAGAAAAGTCAAGCGTGCAGCTGCCAAGATGCCACTTGCCACCAGTTTGGCCATATTTCAGAGCTGCAACATCACTGGAGTGCCCAAAAGCACAAGGTGTGCAATACTCAGAGACATGGCCAAGGTAAGAAAGGCTGAAAGACGACCACCACTGAACAAGACACACAAGCTGAAACGTCAAGACTGGGCCAAGAAATATCTCAAGACTGGTTTTTCTAAGGTTTTATGGACTGATGAAATGAGAGTGAGTCTTGATGGGCCAGATGGATGGGCCCGTGGCTGGATTGGTAAAGGGCAGAGAGCTCCAGTCCGACTCAGACGCCAGCAAGGTGGAGGTGGAGTACTGGTTTGGGCTGGTATCATCAAAGATGAGCTTGTGGGGCCTTTTCGGGTTGAGGATGGAGTCAAGCTCAACTCCCAGTCCTACTGCCAGTTTCTGGAAGACACCTTCTTCAAGCAGTGGTACAGGAAGAAGTCTGCATCCTTCAAGAAAAACATGATTTCCATGCAGGACAATGCTCCATCACACGCGTCCAAGTACTCCACAGCGTGGCTGGCAAGAAAGGGTATAAAAGAAGAAAAACTAATGACATGGCCATCCTTGTTCACCTGATCTGAACCCCATTGAGAACCTGTGGTCCATCATCAAATGTGAGATTTACAAGGAGGGAAACAGTACACCTCTCTGAACAGTGTCTGGGAGGCTGTGGTTGCTGCTGCACGCAATGTTGATGGTGAACAGATCAAAACACTGACAGAATCCATGGATGGCAGGCTTTTGAGTGTCCTTGCAAAGAAAGGTGGCTATATTGGTCGCTGATTTGTTTTTGTTTTGTTTTTGAATGTCAGAAATGTATATTTGTGAATGTGGAGATGTTATATTGGTTTCACTGGTAAAAATAAATAATTGAAATGGGTATATATTTGTTTTTTGTTAAGTTGCCTAATAATTATGCACAGTAATAGTCACCTGCACACACAGATATCCCCCTAAAATAGCTAAAACTAAAAACAAACTAAAAACTACTTCCAAAAACATTCAGCTTTGATATTAATGAGTTTTTTGGGTTCATTGAGAACATGGTTGTTGTTCAATAATAAAATTATTCCTCAAAAATACAACTTGCCTAATAATTCTGCACTCCCTGTATGTGTACTGCCTAACTGAAAGTATATATGTAATATATTGAATAAATGTTTTAATCAAATGGCCCTACTTAAAGCTTAATAAAAACATAAATGAACAAAGGATCATACTGAATAATATGTTATAGTTGTTTTAACTCACTTTACTCAATAGATCGGCCGGACATCACGCCGACCGAGGCTTGAAACCTCCAATTACTTGACTGAGCTCAACTCTTTAATAAGCACAGAATGCAATGTGTATAAAATGATTATAGCCGTTCCTGTAACAAAGGTTAAATGATGCCAGTATGTTTGTCTTAAAGTTATAAGCTATATTTGTTAATACAATATAAATGCCGCACGTTACATGATAGCAAAAGAACATTTTGTTTAATCCCACATGTTTTATAACATTTTCTTTTTATCATTGGATCTGTATCTTATAGGTCACCTTCAATATCCCAAACATCTGATGTGCAAGTATATAATAGTCTTTTGTATAACAATGTTGCATATTTAATTGTTAAGTTTCATTTGCATGCCATTACATCTGCAGTTGTTATGGTATTGTGTTGTGTTGTGTTTGTGTTTGTTACTTAGTTACTTTTTAAAAACACGATTTACAACCTGAAGAGGTGATAAAGCGATAGATCTTTCAGCCCAATTCTACTTTTTCTGCATAATCCATCATACAAAATGTAATCAAATGGAAAAGTCTCTTTTTAAAACTTGTTTTATTAGTTTTAATCTTTTAACTTTATGCATCAAGCAAAAATTTAATTATATGCAACATTCTCTGACTGGAAGAAATTGTTTAACATTTAAACCTATTTTCTGCACATTCCAGCACATAAAATAAAATATTTTTGTGTTTACACTCACTCTTTCAAATAGATGCAAGTAAAACACAGCAGAATAAATAAAGTCAAAGACTCAGCGGTCCTGTTGCTCTATTTTCACCTGTAAAGCAGGAGTGGGGTAGGCGGAGGTTTACCCTGGTGCAGGTGTGCCGCGGTCAGTGGAAGAATCCGCGAGTTTCTCTGTGAAGTTTCCCATTACGTCGTAGCTACTCGGTGCTTGCTCGGAAGTTTAGGGGTTTTTTCACTGTAATCCCTTACTTTACTCGTTACTTGAAAAAGTAATCAGATTACAGTAACGTGTTACTGCCCATCTCTGGTAATATATGTTTTTTTATTTAGATAGAGAATGCAACAACTGTAAGTGAGCTCTGGGTAGTCTTAGAAAAACACCCAAGCATGCTCCAGACAGCAGGCTGCTATCGATTCATGAGGACACTGGAGGATAAGAAGAAGGTAGTAGCAGATTACATTCAGTGGTACTTCATCTACTGAAACCATCTTTCCATCCAAAGGTATAGAATTCAGACTATTATGTGCCCATTTAACAAAATCTTTTCAGAAGATTAAATGGTTACTTTTTTTTATTCCAGTGAACTTTAAAGGCCTTTTTCAGGAGGACTTCTTTTTTGTAGCAGGATGAGTGTCTTAGCTAGATAAGAATGTTGGTTACTTTCTTAACACAGTATTTTGCCATGTGAAGTTTTGCTTGCTTGTTGAGAGGCAGATGATGCTGTAGGTAAGGCACCACAACCTCCACAAATAACATTAAACAATTTATTAAAATGAGACTGTTTTCTAGTTTCAGAGAGGGTCTAGCAACACTGGATTTTCTAAACGCCCTGGAACAGCATCCCTCACTCTTCTTCTCATTCATGTGCTACACTGAGACCAGGCTGACAGCTGATCTTCTGGAGAACATCTTCCATGTGCAATTTGGTCCACCTGGCAGCTCTAGGCGTCAAGAGTACTGAGCTACTGGCAAGACTATCTGCTTTCTGTAGAAGGTCTTAAATTTGGTTGAAAATGTTGGCATGAGTACATTTATGTCAACAAAGTGTAATGGCCCCTTTTTGTGTTTATTATCATTAGAAATAACTTTTTTCTTTTTACATTCACAGAGAAAAATGGAAGTCTGTCTCTTGAAGACATCCCTATGTTTGCAACTGGACTGAGGGAAATTCCTCCTGCAGCAATTCAGCCAAAGTCACAGCTTCTTTTCCAGACCACTTCACGCTTTCCTGTAACAGATGTCTGTGCAAATACTATCAAAATCACAGTGTTACAGTTATGAGGACTTCCAAGAAGCCATGGATTATGGCATCCAGAACTCTCCTGGGTTTGGGCTTCCCTAAGGTCCAAGTCCTTTTGCTTTTAAGCCACATTTATGGTTTCTGCAAACATGTGAAGTGTCTGATTTTAAAATATGATAATGTTCTTTCTAAATTTCATCCTGCAGTTTATATGTGTAGAGAATTTCTGGAAATAAACATAAAGTTTAATGCATCGCAGCAAGTTCGATCAGGTTTTGGAATTTCAAAAGCATAATATCATAGTGGGACAATTGAACAAGTTAGAAATATTTCACTGTGTTAAGAAATTGCCAAAATAACAAAATAAAACATTTCTGAATGAATTATTAATTAATTAATTTTCAATTAAATTCAATTAAATGTTATTTATATAGCACCAAATCACAACAACAGTCGCCTCAATACGCTTTATACGGTGGCTAGGAAGTGCAAATCACATTTACAACATCAACAACAAAATAACATTTCAGAAAACACTTTAACAACTCCGCAACAAATTAACAAGTGGCTCTTGACGAAAAGGGATTGTCCGAAATACCGGAAGTGACTCAACAATTAGGCTTACTCCATATTTGTAGTACAGAAAAGTGATTTGTAGTCAGCTAAATGAGGGCTTTTCAGAGTAGTGTTCAGTTAATGTTTGAAGAGATTTTACAAAAGAGTATGGGTGAGATAATGAGGTTCAGATTTTTAAATGTCACAGGGATTTTCTTAAGAAAATATCTAGGCCTTAAAACCGTCATGGTCCACACTCCAGCCCAGCAGGTGGCAGTAAAGTGCCTTTAAATTAGCGGCAGAAGAAGAAGCAGCAGCTAAACGCGGGATGTCAACAAACGCCGAGAAACTTTAATGGTGTGTTCACACCGAACGTGATAGACGCGACCAGAGCATCAGGTTTAGATGTAAAGTCAATGGAGAAGTGCGATGACACGCGATTGTGGGTACTGCGAAAACTCAGAAGCACAAAACTCAGAAGCAGACATGAAAACACGTCAAACGCGCGTCAAAGTAGCACATCTGGCACGCTTGACGTCAGTTTTTGTGTTGCATTTTGTGCATTCGCGCGTATCGCGTCTACTGCTCGAGTTGGAAAAATCTGAACTCCAGCATCAATTCGACAACCAATCAGGAGCCTGGTGACGTGGCTGTGACCTAGGTCAAAGGGGCAGATCCAGCCAAAGCCCTTCATACTTCAATGGAGGGAAGGCTAATCAACGCCGTAGCAAACAACCCGGAGCTGTACGACACCAGCTGCTTTCTGTACCGAGACAGGAATATAAAGGACCGAGCTTGGAGGAAGATATGTGAAGAGATCGGGCAACCTGGTAAGTTCATTCATTTCTCTTTTGAAAGTTTTCACTGACCCGGGGAAGCCGCACAAAAGCTAGCAAGCCACCGCTATTTTCCCACTGACGTACAAATACCGTTCTGCTTTTATGCATGTTGTCATTTAGGAATATATTTTATTGTTTATTAATAAACAGCACACAGTGGTCCCGCTGTTCATCCGTCACTGCTTCACTCATCAGTAAGAAAATAGCGGTGGCTTGCTAGCTTTTGATGCGCGTTTGACGCGTTTTCGCGACGCAAATCTGCTTCTGAGTTTTCGCGTGTATGGCAAGCCATTAGTGCCAAATATCGCCACTTTTCGTGTTTTGATTAAAGAATGTTAGCTACCGCTCGTCTGCAGGCTTTATTTAAATGGAAAACGTCCACAACAGGCAAAAAAAGCTTTTTGCTAAAAAAAAGATTTAGAGCAGAAGTTTTTTGCACTGCATTTTAAAATGAAAACATATTGCATTTATTTACAATTAAAGACACAGAGCAGGAGGTGTGTTACTGTTTTACATCCACAGACACACAAGAAAAGAAGCAGGCAACATGAGGTCAAGTTATGGCAATTTTATTTGTGTGTTTCAGTGCATGTATTTAGATTAGAGTTTTTAAAAAACAAACAAACGTCCCAAGAAGAAGGATGGGGTGAAAGAAAGGTGGAGAGAGGAGGAAGAAACTATTGATGTCCTCAAACTCGATGCTGCTGGGTCTGCTAGAC